CGAGGACGACAGATTGCTGACCTGACTTCTTTTTCTGTTGTCGCTTTCATAAAACCTTGGGGCCATATATTCCAGTTTGCCCTCATATTTGAAATTTTTATTTTATGATTTGAGTTTAAGATTTTTAATTATGTTTTGAAAATATGAGGGAATGGGGTGAAATTCTCTGAAGAAGCCAAGGTAATTCTTTCCATGAAGCAATGCTGTTTATAAATAATGAGAATCTAAACACCTGTGGGTCCCCATTAGGTAAACATGGGTGCTGGCAGTTCCAGTGTGTCCCACTGATCTCCCTATGCCACAGGCACGATGACAGTCCTTGTCTCTTATTGCTGCGCACAATTTTACCATGTATTTCTTAAAAATCTTTTTGCTTAGTTGTATGACTTTTGAGTTTTCCATAACTTATTTTTATCATTAGTATTCCATTAAGATAATGTTAAAGGTTCCTTTTCTTTTTGAACCGTCTCTCTGCCTCTGTGTGCTAAGCACGTGCTGCCATGCTACTCTCTGGGCATTGATTCACTCATTGTTCTGCTGTATGGAAATAGAATTGTTTAAAGTTTGTCTTTTGATGATGTTGACAGTGTCATTTTTATTTGTTTCCAAACATTAATGTTTCATGAATATTTCACACATTGGGAAAAAACAGTAGGTTGTGTATTATGCATAAATTCAGATTTACTAGTAAATGTCAGTGAGATGTGTCAGCTACCTGGGCATTCATGCATGCGTGTTTGTTCTTTATGAAGATTTACCCTTCTTTTTTTGATGTCATTTTACTTTTTTTTTTTAGTACCAGCAGCTCAGGAAGCGAGGCAGGAAGATCACAAGTTCAAAGCCAGCCTCAACAAAAGTGAGGTGCTACGCAACTCAGTAACTGAGTGTATGAGTTCAATCCCTGGTACTAAAAAAATAAGTAAAATGACATCTTGGAGTAGAGGCTTGGGGGAAGACTGGTTGTTCTGGGGCTGCGGGGCATCTCCTTTTCTCCATAACATCTACAAGTGTAACCCATTGGGATGTGAATATTTCCCCATAACCTCCATTTCATGGAGATTTCTGTGGCCTACAAATTGGATCATGGTGTTGAGGGGTGAGTACAGAATTCATTCTCTCTGCATTTACTCCAAGTTGTAAATGCGAGGAGAGAATCCGAATGTTCAAGGAAAACCCACACCCCTTGGGTGTACAAGAGTCTCCAGTGTACTTCAGTGAGGAAGAATAGGGGTGGGAGAAGGTCCAAGGTGTCAGGATGTCTTGACTTTAACCTTGGGTCTGACCTGTTTTTCAGTCATCTCTGTTCTTCCCGAGCTCATCACCTCGAAAAGATTTCTTTACTTACTTCAGCTTCAACTATTCCCTAACTGTAAAATGTATTTTATTAGTAGAGCTTCAAACATAAGAAACTTCAGCCAAAGCTACAGGACAGAGTTGGATTTTAGAAAAGGAAGTCAGCCTTATATTACTTTGTTTAAATGTTTTATTCGCCTGTCTTTTTGTCTAGAGTGTTCTTTGTGGGTTTCTCATGTGCTATGGTTTTGTTGTTGTTATTATTGTTTGTTTGTTTGTTTTTGTTTTTGTTTTTGTTTTTTTGAGAGGATGGAACCCAGAGCCTTGTGCTTGCAAGGCAAATCCTCTACTCACTGGGTTATATCCCCCATCAGGTGCTTTGTATTTTGGGAAGTGATTTCAATTGAAATTTCAGGGATTAGCTTTGGAAATTCTACCAGAAATAATAAATAGGGAAAATCTCTTTCATTACAGCTAAGGAAAAATGAGTGCAATTTTTCAAAATTGAGTGGTAGCTGCATAGGTAAATTTCAGATTTACCAAGTCATCCATCAGCTCCTCGCCCATAAAGGCCTGTGATAGTCAATAAATCATAGATCTTATCATCTGGATATTGGATTTTTTAAAATATTTATGTTTTAGTTGTAGTTGGACACAATACCTTTATTTTATTTATTTATTTTTATGTGATGCTGAGGATCAAATCCAGGGCCTCCCATGTGCTAAGCGAGCGCTCTACCACTGAGCCCCAGCCCCAGCCCTGGACATTAGAGTTTAATAGTAAATCATATGAGATAATGTTAGGCAAATCCTAGAATCATTCACATGGTTTATGTTTTAATAAATTATTTGTTATAGCACAGATAGCAACCAAATAGTACATTTATTCTCTGAAAAAGATACATGCTCTTGCTTTTCCTCTTGAGGTATGTATGTCAGTGCTTTGCACATTTATTGCCTCCTGTGGACATAAACACTGAGTTTGGCCAGTCAAGTGGGCGGTCCATGCCTGGGATGCCAGCTACTGAGGAGGCTAATGAAGGAGCATTGTACATTTGAGATCAGCCTTGGCAGCTTAGGGAGATAATGTCCCAAAATAAAAAATGAAAAAGGCTATGGGTGTTGCTAGTAGTAAATCTACAAATACACCCTGGATTCAATCCTTACTACATAACAAAATCCCACTGAATGTGAGTAATTTTACCAATTAAGTAGTAGGTCCTTTCTCATTTAAAACTAAATGAACAAAATTAGGAAGCAGAGGGGTCTGAGCTCAGTGAGACTTCTAGTTAATTTAGTCTTGAGGTCTTTGGGACCCATGTGTTTTGTTTCTTGAGACCCATATTTTCCAGATATGGGTTTGAATTGTAGACAGTCACTCCTGAGAAGGAAGTCTAGAGAAGAAAGAGGAAGATGTGATTGGTCGCCACTTTGCTTCCTTTTCCTCTCAGAATAGTCAGCTTTAACTCTAAAATATGTATGCCCAGATATACCCCCCTATACCAGGGGCCTTCTGTTCTCACACGTCACCTAAGCCAGGCCAGGCGTACATGACACACAGAATTCAAAAGTTTTTCTTTTTGACAAATGAACATCGGAAAGTCTTGATATCCTAGATTTCCACTGGGGATGTTTTTGGGTCATTAGATATTTCTGAAGAAGTGAATCATGCTTTCTTTATTTTCCATCTGGATAGTCCAACATTGATAAATACATAAGAGTCAATAAAATGTACATTTGTTGCCCCTAAGAACTTATTAAGTCCTAGAAGAAGAGAATGATTAGAAGAGACCCAGTCTCTAGAATGCCATGGAAAGTCTTCTGAAGTTACCTATTATATTATGTTGTTTTGATTTATACCACAGCAGTGATATGTCTTCTTATGTCAGTTGACATGTTGTACCGATTTGTTCTATTACAGCTGTTTTATCCTTATTGGCTTTGTAGGAATGCTGCCTGCCAGGTTCTCCCTATAAAGTTAGTTTTTCTCTTTCTCTTAGGCATCTTGGTAGAATTTTTCTAAATAATCTACATAAACCATCATATTTAATGTTAGCGTTTTTCTTTGTGCCTTGCTTTGGGGAATGCAACTCTGCCTTTGGTCTACGACAGACGTTCCTTTACTCCTGGAGCTGCTGAAGCTGACCAAGCCCTGGAGGCTTCAGTTCATCCCACCTGCAGCTCATGGACATAACCACATAACCTCCTTGCATTTCCCATGAAAGAAACAAAACTCATATGTTTACAAAGATCTGAAAATTTATAATGTACCTCAAAATAAGTTTGGAATAACAGGAAAAGTGAAGAGTGTCAAAGACTCAGCCCTTACTGTGTACTCAAGTGTGTATCACAACAGTGTCTTTTAAAATAGCATTCATCCCAAATTGATTTATAAATTTTATAAGACGGAATATAGGACTTATTTTCATTTTCATGAAAAATTCTTGTTTCAGTGAATAGAGTTGACACTTCTATGTGTGTATATATGAAATACAAATATCATTTAATCAATTTGATCTTGTTTCTTTACATTTTTTAAATATTTTTAGTTGTAGATGGACACTGTCATTTTTTAAAAAATTATATATATATATATATATATATATATATATATATATATATATAAAATATATAGTTGTATTTGGACACAATATCTTTATTTTATTTTTATGTGGTATTGAGGATCGAACCCAGGGCCTTGCACATGCTAGGTGAGCGCTCTACCACTGAGCCATAACCCCAGCCTCAATGGACAGAATACTTTTATTTTGTTTATCTAGTTTTACGTAGTGCTGGGTTCGAACCCAGGGCCTCACACATGCTAGGCAAGTGCTCTACCACTGAACTACAACAGCAGCCCTTAGTCTTCTCATTTTTAATCACTGCCCTTCTCTGGAAATTCTTCTAACATTCACACTTTAAATTGACTTTAATACTGCATTTTCTTCTGAATTACAAGTCAAATAAACTTGGGTGAAAATAAGGCTCTACCATTTACTAGGTGTTTCACAAAATGTCAAAAGATGAACACCATTATTGCTATCACATTATTTTGGTTTTCTGCATTAAGACATGGAAAACTCTTACATAGTGAGAAGTATGTATTTGAAGTGGTTGAAAAGGATTGTTGTTGATAGTTGCTATTTTAATAAAAGTACATAAATTCATTAAAATATTTGAACTCAGATGCAGCAATGATTTTTCCTACAGTGGTCTACCTCATTGCTCTTCAGAAGTTTCTCTTGGAGCCCTGGCACTACTATATTGGAATCAGGACCAGGAAGAACCCAGGACCCATCTCAGAACTAGTGGATCAGAGTCTGCATTTTAGTAATCTGTAATTCATGGCTTTGCATTTAAAATTTAAGAATCACCCTTCTTACTCACCATAACAAACTCATCGAAGAAGTAGACAATTTATCTTATAAAATATAAAATTACAATTAAAATGTATATTCTTGTGTTAATGCCTTAATTTCACATTTCATAAAAGTGGAGTTTATACACTTTTTTGGACATGATTACTTTCCTCAGAGTTAGATAATAGAAAATATCACTATGTTAAAAAGTATTTTCCTAAACAATTAAAGTCAGTCCCCTACTTGACAGCCAGGTCTGCTAACTCTCATTTCAACTTCAGTTACATTACAAACTGTGCAAATGTTCGTGTGGTCAATGTGTTATTTATTTACATATTCTTATTTCAGGAAGTGTTAACATTCAGGGATGTGGCCATTGATTTCTCTGAAGAGGAATGGGAATGCCTGGAACCTGCTCAGCGGAATTTATACAGAGATGTGATGCTAGAGACCTACAGAAATCTGGTCTTCCTGGGTGAGCAGAGCTTCCCTTCAGAGTTCCTAATTAATCAGAATTCCTAATAGTATAATTTTCTTCCTGTGCAGAATATCTTTTGGGAATTTCTACACTGGATGAATGAGTTTCAGATGTTTTGCTTTTAAGAAAATGTCTTGGGCAGTTTTTGTTAAAGAGGAGAAAATGTTATGTCATTTTTTTAGTTCTTAATCTTTCCCTTTCTTGAAGTGATATATGCCCTTCACTTTAGATTAGTGGTGCTATAATTCAGTGATACAGAATGACATGACCTATACATCAAAGTTCAATTTCTTTCCTTTATAGTACCAGAATAAAAGTATCAGTGGTCACAGGGAGAACCCCAAGAAACAGTCATTTTATTTTCCAATAAGCACATGGTCTCTAAGCTATGTTTGGGCACCTTCCTCTGAAGCAAAGGAAAGAGTCCTGAGCCATGTACCCAGGTAGGTAGAAATTCATGAAGCAGAGGACACAGTTGAGAGGTCCAAAGCTCAAGGAGGAATCCAAACTTCCAAATGTTGATGGAGAAGTTATCATGCCACAGAAATGGTTTTCCAGRAGCTTAGATTTGTTCTCTTGCTATCCAACAAGGACAGGTACTGCCCTGTGTTTAGCATGCTTTCAACCTCTTCAGTCTCCTGCTTCTGCTGCACTGATGTCACAGTGTGTTCAGATTAACAGCTCAAACACTCCCCTTTGCTTGTGATTGTAAGCGTGATCTGACAGCATTTCCATTATTTGGGGCATTTCATGGAAATCTATGCACATTTCTGGAAAGCTCTGGGTGAAGTCTTTGTAGTATCATAAAGAAGTTTCTCTAATGTCACTTATATGTTTATTCATTGAAATTCTCTGCTGGGTACAGTGGCACACACTCAGGAGGCTGAGACAGGTGTATCTCGAGTTCAAAGCCAGCCTCAGCCATAGTGAGGAACTAAGCAACTCAGTGAGACCCTGGCTCTAAGTAAAATACAAAATAGGGCTAGGGATGTGGTAAAGTGCCCCCGAGTTCAAAGAGAGGGCAGGAGGGAGGGAAGAAAGGAAGAAAATACTGGGTTTTCTGTGGAATTTTTCTATCATATGAATGTCAGTGATTCATAGTGGATGCTCATTTTGGGTATATATGGTCATAGGTGAAAATTAGTTATATAAAAGGATTTATAAAATAGTACATCCATGGTTATTTAGTGTTTTTCCTACTTGGAAGGTAATTGAGCTTCTTGATCTTGTTTAGATATGGTTTTTTGCTCCTATTTATACTATTATCAGATTATTTTTACTGATACTAGAGATTAAACTCAGTTGCTTTTCCACTGCCCTTTTCTTCAGGCCTTTTATTTTATTTTATTTTTTATGGTATCTTACTAAGTTGCTGCACGGCTTCAAACTGTGATCCTCCTTACTCAGCCTCCCATATTACTAAGATTACAGCTGTGCACAAACATCCCTGACTCTCTCAGACAGTATTTTTGAAGAAATTCTTCAATTACACAACTTTTGTATGTTTCAAGTAATGATTTTGTCTGAATTTTATTCAATTTTCTGTGTTCTGAATTAGTTAACTTATTTCAAATGTTTTTTTAGGTTCTTTGGGTAATTTGTAACTCTTATTTTCCTAATTGTGAATTTCTAGTGTTTTGTTCCTTTTATTAAACCAAGTGTCCGTTTTTCTTTTTGTACTGTATTACTTTTTATTCACCCATTTAAAAACCAGCCAATAGTAGTCATTTTAGAAAACAATATAGAAGTTAGTAAAGAATTGAAGAATAGGGAAGCACAGTGCTACATACTTTTAACCCAGGTAATAGGAAGGATGTGCAAGAGGATTTTATGTTTGAGGCATGTCCCATGATATCTCAAACAATTTAATTTTGAAGTGGCTTGTGTTTAACTCAGTGGTACAACACCCTTGGGTTTGATCTTAAGCATTACACAAAAAAATTAAAAGTACAATGCATGATCCAGAAATGCAAGCTTTAAATGGTTATCCAGAGGATATTAAATCTGCATGTTGAATATCTGTGTTATTGTCATGCAAAATGTGTTACATCCAAGTCTCAGTCATGGTACATAGAAGGTAGTTTAAGTGGGTGGATTTTCCTAATTGTACAACGGGTRTATTCTCAAGGAGGATGACTTGTAGAGTATATTACTCTCCTAATGGTGTACTTACTCATCTTGAATACTGTGAACTCTAGATGGTTTGGCTAATTCTCAGAAAGTAATTTCATCTGTCCATTGTTATTTAGCTCATATATTTATGGAGTAATGATGTACTATTCTGCCACCCTGCTGATGTTCTGACTGCAATAATTTTATATTATATTTACAAAGTATATTTTCAGTCTAATATGTAAAAATTTTATTTATTTCAGCCATGACCTCTCATCATACCCAGGAAATTTCACCAGAGCCTGGCATAGAACATTTATTTATAAAAGTGATAAACAGAATATATGGAAATTGTGACCTTGACTTTTTACAACAAAAGAAAGTACAGGACATTGCAGTTGAGAGTGAAGGTCAGAAATCATATTATGATGGACAAGACCAATTTGTAGTGACTGCACCTAATGAAAATTTTACTGTCAACACACCTGAAGAACATTTAGTGCCTCAGAAAAGTATTCAATGCATAACTGAAGGACAAGTTTCTAAAAGTGATCATTTTGAAAGTTTCTTTACAAATTATCCATTATTCTGTGATGAACAAAGAATTCTTTCTTGTTCCCAAACATACACTTTTAATGATTGTGGGAAGGCCCCTATGTACTCCATACTGCTAAATCAAAATTCAGATATAGATTACTGGAAAGTGTGTAACACATGTAATGAAACAAGCAACACCTTCAGCCAGGTCTCTACCCTAAGCAACCAGCGTACTTATGTTGGAGAAAACAATTATGAATGTAGCAAAACACAGGAGAACTCTGGCTCTGGTTGCAATATGAGAGAACATCAGTGTGCTCATTGTGCACAGAACCCTTACAGAGGTGACGAATGTGGGAATGTCTTTCCTCAGTGCTCAAAGCTGATGACCCATCCAAGTACTCAGGGCCAAGAGGCGCCTTGCAAATGTGAGGCATGTGAGAGAGCTTCTAACCCAGCTGCTAGCCTTCCTCAATACAGTGGAGCTCCTCCTGGAAGGGAGCCCCCCAAATTTAAGGAATGTGACCAAGCATGGAGTTGCTCACCCCTTTCTAAACACCATAGGTACCATAGCAGTGATCAACACTACAAATTCAAAGAATGTGGCAAAACTTTTAATCGAGGACCTCCCCCTGTTAAGCACCGCAGAACTCATAGTGGAGAGAAACCCTACAAATGTGAAGAATGTGGCAAATCCTTTAAAAAATGCTCAAACTTTTCTAAACACCTGAGATTGCATAGCAGTAAGGAAGCCTACAAATGTAAAGAATGTGACAAAGTTTTTAAGAATTTTTCAACCCTTACTCAACACAAAAGGATTCATACAGGAGAGAAGTCCCACAAATGTGAAGAATGTGGCAAAAGTCTAAATCGAAAAGCATACCTTACTCAACACCAGAGAATTCATACTGGAGAGAAGCCCTATAAATGTGAAGAATGTGGAAAAGATTTCAATCAAAGCTCAAATCTTAATAAACACCAGAGAATTCATACTGGAGAAAAGCCCTACAAATGTGAAGAGTGTGGCAAAGGGTTTAATCGAAGATCACACCTTACTCAGCACCTGAGGCTTCATACTGGAGAGAAACCCTATAAATGTCACGAATGTGGCAAACATTTTACCCAAAGAGGGTACCTTACTGAACACCAGAGAATTCATACAGGAGAGAAGCCCTACAAATGTGAAGAGTGTGGCAAAGGTTTTACTCGAAAGGCACACCTTACTCGACACAAGAGAATTCACTCTGGAGAGAAGGAAAGTCCCAGTGATGGCATCCCAGAACACCTGCTGTCTTTTCTGAACATGCTACGAGGACCTAGAGAACTRGATTGCAACACGCTTCCATAGCAGCTAACCCCACTCGACCACCTTCCAATGTTGTGCAGCTTTGTAGGAATACTAACTGGAACTGAGGAGAGATTTTTTTTTGTCTTTTTTTAAATTTCTTTCTTCCTGTCCATCTAACTTTCTTTTTGTCAAGTTTTCTTAGTCTCTTTTTTTACCTTTTTAACTCCTTTCCATCTCTTTCCCTTTTCCAGTGTCTGTATATTTTTCTTCTTTGGAAATTTATGTCCTTTTGATGAAGGCAGAAAATTATGCATCTCCCTAGCCATCCTGCATGATTCTGTGTGCCCTTGAAGAGTGTGTTCCTGTCACCTCCCTGCTCATTTATCATCCACAACAAGTTGATACACCAGGTTGAGAGTTCACCTATATCTACTGCTTCCCTAATGAAGTAGGAAAAATGGCGGGCTTCAAGAGTCTGGTAAGTATTTCCTGTTTATACTTTTTTTTGTGGCCAAACCCAGTCTCACCATCTCTGGATTAAACAGAACAAGAGCTGGAATTGTCCACAGCACAAGGAAACTCTTATTTTTATGCAGTTTCTTTTCTACCTGAGGAACTTTCTGCAGCTGTGCCTTCCTTGTGTTCAGGAAAACTTGTGAACTGTGGGACCCGATGCAACCTCAGCTGAGACTTGGAAACCTTCATCAGCACAGGAAAAAAAGAACACAACACTACAGTCACCAAGAAGAGAACAGTTTTAGCTTACATTCACAATTTTTACTTCTACTACTGATGCTGGTTATTTGCCAAAGAAAAGAATTCTTTTGGCCTTAAACCCTGCAGAATAATTTTCTTTAGGACAAGATACTACCATTCTCTGACAGATTTCCAGCAGGTACAGAACCTTCCCAAGTCTAATATTGAAGCTGGATAATTGGAATGTGGATAGTGGTTCTCTTTGAGCCAATAAAAGCACATGACGAGCCAGACATGGTGGCACATGCCTGTAATCCCAGCAACTTGGAAGGCTTAGGTAAGGAGGATGGTGAGTTCAAGGCCAGGAGGGGAAAAAAAAAAAAAAAAACACGAGGAGGGCCCAGGTTCTAAAGTCTGGCATTAGAAAACAAAAAATTTAAACACCTTTCTCTAGCCTCAAAGGACAAAAAGGAGGAGAAGAAGGGGACTAGAAAATACTTGGCATATACCTTAATACATAAAATAGTGTCAGACCTAAGCTGGCACTGAACTAAACACCATGAAAACTGAACACAGAGGGCTGTGTTTTCTTGGTTCACCTGTAGAACTAAAACAGATTCCCCACCAGGCCCACCTCTTAGCCTTAGCCTTCTGCAAAGGGCTCCGAGGAGCTTTCTGTCCCCACTGATTTGCAGATGTGGTCTTTAGCAGATCCCAGAAGGAACTCAAGAGGGAAAAGAAATCACTCCCTGGGAGCATGAGCTTTAAGTCCATGGCGACSTGGGGTGCACCTCGTTGTTTGAGAAAGAAAACTGGTGCAGGACCAATTACACACACACACATGAGATAAGAAGTCCCACAGAGAGGGACAGCAGCCACAACTCCCCCTTGGATGCTACCTTTTATAGGCTAGAATCATGGCTATGTGCTAGGGGCAGGTTTAGTCTTGACTGACATAGCAAAGCGGGAACAGGGAAACCGGTACGTCCCCATCTCGGGGGCAGGTAAGTTGTCTCCTATCCCTCAGGAAGAGACCAGCATGTCTCCAAGCTGGTAGGTTTTGTCTCAGGCTACTTTCTATTTCTTGGGAATAAGAACAGTATTCATAAAGTGGGGGTGGGGAAAAGGAACATGGCTGCAGTGATGCTAACAGTTTTTAGTCCAGGGGAGATGGAGTGTCTATCCTTTATCACTCCCATCCCTCCTTGAGACAGTGATTGGTAGCACAACAGTTCCAGGTGGTAAAGAAGCCTGATGGCACTTGGAAAATAACTGCTCTGTAGGGTGAATGCAGTGGTGCCTTCTTTGCATGCAGCTGTTCCCTGGTGTATGATCAGATGAATGTAACTCAGACACTCACCCCACCAAAGTGGGGGCATATTTGGGACAAAGGAGTGCTTTGTGCACTGGTCCCTTATCCCATGAGCTCCAAAAGATCCTAGGGCAGGTGCATTGTGCTCCAAAAGATCCTAGAGCAGGTGCAGTGTGCACCAAAAGATTCTAGGGTAGATGCAGTGTGCACCTGAGCAAACAGCACACCCTGCTGATAAATGTGAGTGGACAGCCATCGTCCTTCAAGAAAGGAGAAGCCCTGGTGGGCACCAGTGCTTGGTTCACTGACCATTGCACTGAGTCCCATGGACCATTGCACTGCCATTGCTCTACAGACACCTTATGGTGTGATGCTGGGCTGGGGCAAAGCCCCCAATTGGCTGGTCCCTGCCATAAGTGCTGGAAATAGTGGGGGTCCTGTCACCAAGGCAAGAATTTTACTTCCATGCACAGATGTTTTTAAAAGCAGTGTCCATCACTTTTAAGGTTTTTCTTTGGTAGGAAAAAGATGACTTAAAATGGTATCTAGGTTTTTTAGATAGGTTGATTTTCATGAGTAACCCCAAATGAGCAGTTAAAAATAGGACTTTTCATAAATTTCACTGGGTCTCACAATTAAACTACAAGGCAGTGTAGTGCATGATCCTCTCTGAGAGGACCTACTACCTTGCTTGAGAGTGTCCTCTATGCCCTTTTTCATATCTTTCTTTATTCATTTTGGTTCTAGGTATTGATCCCTATGGTGCTTCCCCACTGAGCTACAGGCCCACCCTGTTTTATATTGTGTTTTGGGTCAAAGTCTTGCTGAGTTGCTTCAGGCCTTCCTGTGTTGCTGAGGCTCACTTTGAACTTGTGATCCCTCTGCCTCATCCTCCCAAGCGACTGGGATCAAAATGTGTGCCACTGGGCCTGGCTTTTCTATCCCTTTTCATAAACTTTGCTATTGTTTTAGTAAGTGCCATATCTTGCCTGGAGGTCTCTCAAGGGAGAACATACTAGGGTCATGGAAGGGAACCTCCAAAAATGCCTTCCTCTGTCGCCATAGGTATTCTTACAGCACAGCCACCCCTGATGCTTGCCTTCCACCTGAGTGAGTAGGAAGCCAGCTGAGGGTGGTCACATGCCAAATGTTTGCAGGGACAGCCACTCCCATCTGCCAACATTGCAAAAGTAAAAACCACTGCTATTTTCTCAGCTGCAAAAATTCCTTCGGCATATATAACTTCTGTCTGCAGATGCCCATTTAACCAATGCTAACATCACCCCTTCCCCTTGGCTGAGTTCTTATCAGCTGTCCATCCAATGAGACATCTAGGGCCAGAGGAGTAGGCAATTATGCCCCCAAAAAGTCACATTCTGAAAGCCATGTTTTCTCTCAGTGAAGGTGGAAACAAGGGGGATTAATAACCCCTAGGGGACAGGCCAGAAAGAAGGTGCTAAGGTTGGAGCAGCTGCTTCTACAAATGGCTTGAAACAGCCTTTGCATGTAGGAAAAAAATGAAAATATAAAGGACGCACCTTCACCTCTGCCACCGTTCTGGGTGACACTGAATTACCGCAATCCCTGTGCCCCTGCTGGGCTGCAGCAAAGGGAGCAACCCAGGATGTGTACAGTTAATGCCCATCACGGGCAGCAGAGGCTGGCCTAGTCCAACAGCAGCGCCACCTACCTCTCGAAGAATGACCTGAGTCCTGGAGCCTGCCCCTATGCTAGGGAGGGGGAGCATCCATTTACTCAAGTGGGCACAGGGGCTGTAGGACCCGACCTCAGAGTCCATGTGCCTGGGGTGGCTGCTGGGTGAGTATTGTAGGAAGTGGTCTCAAGGGAGGATACAGGAAGGTAAGTTTGCAAGTGCCTGCCAGTGATCAGCTTGGGGACAGCTGGCAGTTGCGGTCCACAGGAAACCCATGGAAATGGAAGCCTAGTTCTCACCTGGCCTGCTTTACTAACCAAGTGATAATTTGATGATTATTCTAGCAACTCTTGGGGCCAATGAGAAACTGTGTGCTGTGTCTGGCTGAAATAGGAATTTGGGACACAAGGAAGATTAAGTCTCAAAAGTACAAGGACCATAAGCCACTAGAATACAGGAAATGCCCATGAAGTTTTGACATTAAAAACAAGCAACTTCTAAGAAAACCAGGATTCTTTTGATGCCACTATCTGTGCTCCCAAAATACTAATATGATACCTGGACAATGAGCAAGCCTAGAAAAATGTGTGAAATCACAATTCTGATTCCACCTCTAGTCCAGCCCTCACCTAATGTCCCTCTATAAATAACACTACCCAGTGGTTTGCTGTATCTCCCTTGGAGGTGTCCTGCATTCTGTGACTATGTATCCTAAATAAATCTGCCCATGTCTCTGATAAGTGCTCAAATTCTGTTCTGCCTTGCATACCAGGTTCCCATGTCTTCTGAATTGATGTTTCTTTCTCTGTGCTACATGTGGGTCCCAGGAAGTGGTCTCAAGAGTCTTTCTTTCTTTGTCCCTCCCTTTCTCAAGTATCCCATTATGTTACCTCATTTAGCAAGATTCATGTTTTACACTGGAATTATGTGTTTTTTATATTTTGGGGGTCGATAACCAGCAACTTGGGTTAAATTTTTAAAAAGACAAGGGACCAGGTTTGGTGGCACATGCCTCTAAGCCCAAGTATGTGGGAGGCTGACTAAGAAGAAACCCTTGAGGCCAGTCTCAACATCTTAGCAAGACACTACCTCAAAATTAAAAAACAGGGCTGGCATTGTTGCTGGTTGTAGTCCTGAGGTTTGGGGTTGTGTTTTGGCAGGCTGTTGTAATCTTGAAGAAGAGTATTTCAGATGAGTTGTGAAATGTAGGTGAAGTGTGGCAAAGTTCATTAGAAAGCCAGTCAGTATCAGGAGGCGGGGAGGGGAAGGGAGACATCACTCTCATCCGCCTTGGCCCCCCAGGCTTCCTGAGTTCTCATGGGGATTCTCACAGTCCCTCCTAAGTCTTAGCTTACAGAAGGATTACATGAGGGTTGCAAGTTCCTCCTGCAAATGGTCTTGTCCAGAGGTACTCAGGCAAAATCCATCTGGGGAGTCAGATTTTACTGTAACAAAAACTTATGAAAAAATTAAAATGATCTGCTAAAGATCTGATGCAA